TAATCAATTTTCAAATATATTCAAAGAAGATACATATGAATCTGTAAATACATTTCATAGCATTAGCTCAGAGGATGAAACATGTATCTAAAGACCTTGATCCAGTCTATTCTAAATATACAAAGAAGTGAAATAAGAAAAAATAAAGTATATAGCAAGCTGATATCTATGATATCTAAATTTGTATATCAGGCAATTAATAAGCTAATAAATTAACCTATTTGCCATATTTATTTTTTCGGTTAGCTCCATGTCTCATAGAGGCGCTCTTTGGACCTGATCTATTAAATAAAAAGCTTTAGTAATAAAATCCACACGTTTGAGATAGCAAATATACAATATGGGTTATAGCAGAGTAAGAGATAAGTTAAGTGAATATGGTAAAAATTATATCGTTAACATTATTAAAACATCAGAAGCATGGTTACGGTTTGCAAAATATTATCCACCAAAATATATACGCAAGCGTTTATTAAAATTAGGATATGAAATAAATAGTAGAGATTACTGGGAAAATTTCGTATTTCGTATCAAAAATAATTTAATCAGCTATAAGCAAATAGCTAATGATCTTAAATATAGAAATTTTAAAGTTCAACTAGCATTGCATAAAAAAATCGTGTATCATTAATTATCCAGCAGGCATATCGTTTATGGAGAAACAAATTAATTTAGCTAAAATGATCCAGCATACAGTAATTAAATGGCTTTATCGATCCAATGGATTATTTATAAAACAAGCCAAAGATCGATTTTATCAGCGGAGCTGGCATGGCCAAAATGTGGATAAGCTTAGTTAAAAATACTAATTTCGTTTCAACTGCATTAATATCAGATTTTTTTAGCCAGATATATTTTTGTATAATATATATTAGCAAAGTTATTTCACAGTACCAATCAAAATGATAGAAAATTTTAATGATCATACAGAACGAAAAGTGAAAAATAAGTTTAAATATCTTAAAGATTCCATTATAGATCTGGAATATGGAATGCGTATGTTCTATAAAAAGCTAGAAAATATTATTGATTAATGTAATTATATATATTCAGATAATTATGATTATAATAGCGATACATCGGATTCAAATTGTTCTGATATTTTACCCAATGTTGTTTCAGTAAAAAAGATACATGAGTCTAAAGACTTCGGCTCTATCCATTCTAAACCTAAAAAGAAGTGAAATAAGAACAAGGTATATAATTGTACAAAGGTACGTAAAGAATTTTTATAGCTTTGACACATAAAATAATCGTATAATAAATCGCGATCACGATAATCCAATTTTTTATAACCCTTTAGGGTTGTCCCTTCGGTCTTGCATATATTTGAGATAACGTGGATGCACTTAGCAGGTTAGATCCACATGATTTTTGTATGACCCAATTTCTCACATATATCCTCATTCGTCGTTTTTTATTAATTTTCATGTTTTTCACCGATCATGAAATTCGCCTTTCCTATATATTGTTTCCGCTATAATGAACTTTCGGACGTAATGCTATTTTGAGTTGGGGTATTTTTTCGAGTAACTATAAATGAGAATATAGCTGAGAAAAGATAGGTGTTTTCAGAAACTTATGTGAGTTATGTTTACCAATATCTCATGTCTCAAAACTTTCGTCTTAAATATTATTAAAAATTCGTCTCCTGAAAAAATTATAGATGAAGGTGATACCCCCGAACTGGATGCATGCTCGTTATGTAATCATGAGCTTTTTTTGTTCAAAATAAAAAACCCGATTACCATACTTGTCTGTGGACATATATACCACCGTGACTGCATCGAAAATTATATCAAGAAACGTTCAATATGCTCAAAGCCCGATTGCAAGAAAGAAGTGGAGTCTACGATTAATAGCATGCCCAGAAGTCAAAATACCAACGATTTGATGGATATATCTCCGTCATTATTTACTGACCTCCTCTTCCAAAGTCCGTCTAAAAAGCGTGTTAGTGAATCTATCAGCAAATCATTCAGCAAGAAAGTGAAGAAGCAAATATCAAAGGAAGATTCTCCTACGTTACAAAGACTAATCAAAGAATTGGGAACTGACGTTACAGAGAAAACTATGCTGACTAAACCAATATCTGAATCGAATGAGGACTTAATCAATTTTCTAGCTTTGTACCAAAATATAATCAATGCTGAAGAAATTAGTAAAAAAATGACGCAAGAAGTCATTCGTCACTATTTCTATTTTGGAAAAGCACTCGAGGAGCGATTCGATCAATATAGAAAAAACAATCCTAAACGTACGGCTCAAGGGTTAGTTAATAATGATGTTAGAGCTCAGATTCCCAAATCAGTTAGTGAAAGCTTACTTCGAAAAACAAAGGAAAGGGCCCAGAAGATTTATGATATCTTTAATGAGATCGGGGTTGAAAAAATCAAACGAATTCAGTCTTTTACTGCTACAACAATAGCAAATATATCCCAAGATGACATTGATTTTGTATTAGCCAAACTTTCGGTAATTTATGCCGATTTTAAAAAATAGAGCCAAAACCTCACTACTCTGTAATAATAATCCATTGTAAGCTCACGTGACATTGTGACAAGCTGTCACAATCTATGAAATAAAATTTAATCGTGTTAACATTGACGTATAAATGCGCCTAATTTTTTTGTTAATAATTGAGTGTGAATCTGATCGTGGTTGTAATTTATGCAACTGCATGTGATCGTGAAAAATGATTTATGCACTGTGTTTAGTTAAAAATTTGTACGAATTGAGTATAGATTTCTTCCTATTCTTTCATCAGATCATCAAGCCATGCAGTTCTTAAACCACTTTTTAGTATACCGCGATGTAATAATTATTTATATAACATTTAAGTTACAGTATATTAAACACTTTTAGATATTATGAGAGATCGAAGCTTTCTCGATTAATAAACTCTTTAATTTTATTTATCTTTTGAGGAATAACAATTTCTGGTTTCTCATCATACCATACCTCAATAAGATAAATTCTGTTAAGGTGGCATAGTGTTTTTTTTTTCCGATCACGATTAACAATATCCTCAAGTTTTTTAATATCTTTATACCAGCCAGTGTGATGAAGCCGATGTTGTGCCCCTTGCGTCTCTAATGCGATTCGATTAATTCGGAAGAAGGCATCAAGTTCTAAATCTTCCATAAACGATGAACGATATTCAACTACGGGTTCCTCATTAAAAAGTATCTGGGCTATTAGAATACATTTCTCCTGAAATTTATGATTTTTCTTACCTTCGACAGTAACAAGGTGACTAGATTCTAATTGTTTTTTAAGTTCATCTATAAGATATTTTTGATTTTTATTCTTATACTCAAGATCATATTTCTGTGCTTTAAGTTCAAAAATTTTGGATATATACTCATCACACTGAAACTGAAGCACTCCACTTTCCTCAATACGCTTAGACTGGAATGCATTCATTTCATCAGAAATATACCCAAGCATCCTTTGAAACATTTTCACATATTCATCAGTTTCTTTATCTCCGAATACTTTAGGTTTAAGAAGTTCTGGTACAAGTGAAAGGTAATGTTTTCTCGTTATTTCGTATAGGCAAATCAATTCCTCTGTTTTGGGGGCATTGGCGATGATGAGCAAACCAAAGACTGCGAAATAATAATATCTTGATTTTGGCCTTGCAAACTCTGCTGATTTTCGATTTCAATCTCAGACTGCATGTTTGTAATTTATTTTTATGTATCCAATAATGAATTTAAAATGTATAACCGCATATCTATTGTGGAATATCAAATAAAAATATTGCAAACCACTTAAACTACAATAAGCAAAATTTGCATTGCGATACATAACAAAATAACTGCAACTGTACATCGTACTCTGATCGCTCATATAATTTAGCAGTCTTAACTGTGCATTCCATGTATTATATTTACGATTTCATCACCCATTTCGTTCTGTGATTGTACCTTGATGCTATGTATGTGGTACCAGCGAGTAAAAAAAAACTACGTTTCCGTGACAAAATGTCACGATCAGACTTGTCGATCACCTTTGCCAAGAAAATTATTTCAGAAAAATAATACCTGATACATTACACGAAAAATAACACATGATGCATGATTCGAAGAATCGCCTAAAGGCTTGTACGTTCCTCTAACCAAAAATCTTTATTAACAAAATATATATATGATAGAAATACAAAATAAAATACATGATATCTGGTCCTTTAGGGGTGCCTCTCTGAGGCATATACGAAGAAAAATATATAATAAATAAAAAACTAATTGTTATTGTGTAATGGAGTTGAAACTGTGGTACTATCTTCTTTCTGCCTTTCTGATATAGTTACTGATGCATGATATAGCAAAGATAGATTAGTGATTATTAAATTACGCAAAAGTAATAAAGTTTCTATAAATTTATATACAACCCTTTCATCTGAAAATTGTATCGGGATTTCAGCAGACTGGAGGTGATAATATTGATATACATTAACCATATCTCGAACAAGTAAATTTAAATATAACTCATTACCTACGATTTGTACACCTACAATGCCAAATTGATCCTTATCCGTTTTAAGAGTTTGATGTATCCAAAAAAGTCCATCATTACATTCTCTCCATAATTTAACATTATCATCAATCTTTTTTTGAGCGGTACAAATTAAGCGAGAACATTCAATATACATAAGTTCAAAAATTGTTTTCTAGTATTTTGCCACAAACATTATATCTGGACGTCTCCCCATAAATCCATCCCCTTTTCTGTTAGCACTGGCAACACTTTGTTTTTCCGATGTACTAATGAAAAAGGAATCACCAATAGGAAGATTTTTTAACGAAGCTCGAATTGCTGGTAATATGATAGTTAATTGATATGTCCCCTCACTTAATGTTTTTGCAAATTCAGAACTGAAAGTGAAATTGTTCCAAATATCTTTTAAAACACTAAGAATTTCTTTAGTTACATTTACGATACTTTCTTCAGACTCTTTCTAAGTTCCATCGTGAACTAATTTAGTATATATCAGTTCATCTTCAAATTTATTAAAATCTGTTACAAACTTGTTACACATTTCCTGAATAATAGTAAAGGGTTTAGGTGTCATTTTGCGAGTAAGTTTCTAGGACAAGTTTCAGATATACCTGCTACCCAAATTCAAAATCCAAATGCCGAAATCCCAAATGCCAAAATCTCAAATCTCAAATTATGATTAGTATTTTTTGCTGAAATCCCAAATCCCAAATCCCAAATCCCAAATACTAGTAATTTGGGATTTAGGTAATACGTATAGTTTCAGAGAAATAATAATTATACCATTAGTAGGCTCAAAGAGCCATTGCTTTGCAATAAATGAAGCGTATCAATTTATAACTGCTTTGTGGTTATGAACAAGTTCTAGTTTACCATAAATCTCTTTTTTAAATTTCCAGACAGTTGATTCACAAGCTCTGAATCGTCACTAATAACCTGGCTAGCCAAGGGATTCTTCCAATCCAACTTTGTAATATCCATATTAGATACATTAGAATACAAATGACAATATAAAGGACTTGAATCTCTTCTGAGTTTTCCTTTTAATTTATTTACATTATTGTCAATTTGTTCTAAACTAAGGAGTTTTTCTTTATTCGTCTTAATAATACCGAGATTATACAAAGTGGATATTCCTTCAAAAGCATTTTCAAACTAAAAAATAAAGCACTAGTTTCAGTAATATAATTATTTTGTGATCACGAGTTAAATACATCATTAAATAATGCTTTATATTATCAGTACATATGCAAAGTTATTATTTTTGTGCGGCTGACACGTCAATAAAATTCTGTGTGATATCAATTTACTACATAATAATATAACTTCATTATTCTCATACAGGTGATAAATTTTTCTCGTCAATGGGTTAGTAGGATAAACTACATTATTACATAACAGTCTATAGCTTAAATATCCCTCCACTGTCAAGCAAGTGTTTATTGTGAGATGGTTAATAGAATAATCAAGTCATTTTTTAGTATTTTATATCAGCTTATGTTGAAATATTTTGAATGATAAATCACATAGTATCATCATATAACTTCAAATAATTACGGAGCAAAAATATAATAACAAACCTGTGAAAGGACCTTAATAAGTTTTAATTGACGTGAAGGACTAC